CAATAACAATACCTGTTATTAATCAAAAGTTCTTGTAAATATTGCCAATTTATGCATTTTGTCATGTACACTGTTAATGTACAGTACCAACCAGACCCAACCTGACACAAAGCAGTCCCAGAGCAGTCCCGGGGACTGCTTTCTGGGACTGCTAAAGCAGTCCCAGAGCAGTCCCAGAGCAGTCCCACAGCAGTCCCAGAGCAGTCCCACAGCAGTCCCAGCAGTCCCAGCGGTCCCAGAAAGCAGTCCCAGCAGTCCCAGAAAGCAGTCCCAGCAGTCCCAGTGGGCGGGGTTAATTAACTTAATGGGCGGAGCTTACTCAGAATGAGATTAACAATAAACAATGTAACTATATAAAAGGCAGTTGAAATTGATGAGCAATTCTTTCTGAGTAGTGTCAACAAATATTTACAATTCTTACACGACAGTCATTTCTGAACTGTTAAGAAAATCACAGTACGCGTATAGAAACAAATTCTAATTATTGAATGAAGAAGACGTTCACACATATTAATAACATGCATATTTAAACACAATTATTTGGTATATTAATTTTTAACCAAAATAAAACCAATTTCTTTATTTTTTGTGATTGATATTGGTTTTCATATTTATTTTTTTATATAGAAAATTAAACTTGAAATGTTTATTTTATACCAGATTTAGCTTTAAATAGATAATAATAATTATAGAGCAAGGCCGATTCCCATACTATACTCTGAATGCATTTTTCTTAAGTATTGGAGCTTTTGAAAAATTCTTTGTTAAACATTGCCGAGTATTATATTTTAGTCATGATTATTTTCAATGACTTCTTAATTAAATTATCTTTAGATTCTCAGTTTTAAGTGTTTTATTATATAAATGTTCGAGTGTACATCTGTAAATCACGCAAATGGAACCCTCAGATTATGTTCAAAATTAATTAATCCCGAAATAAATTTATACACAATTATTGAAACTAAGATTTTTTGCAGGACATAGATTGAAATTAGTGTCAAATTGAATGTTGACCAGCGTGTTCAATGATGTGTAACACTGATACCCAAATAACATGCATTGACTTTCTGCTAATGCCCAAAGGCGATTGAAACCTCAGGTGTTGACACCATTTTATACAATCCAGCTGTATTAACCGGCCAGGTAAACACAAACAAAGAAATAAAAAAACAAGTCACAATTCCCGATATTTTCAAATGTTTATTTTTTAAATAAATGTACTCTTTTAATAACTTGTTTATAAATTAAAAACTAATTCATAAATAAATCCCCGAATAATTGTTCACATTGTTTATGTGACAGAAGAATGGTAGAATAATTTTATTTCATGGTCATTAAATAAATTATTAGGTTTTATTTGAGGATGGTAAAAAATAGCATGGAGTGCTCTTTTTTAAGCATGGTATTAGCTTTTTCCATTAAGAAAAAAAAATCCAGTACAGTACGTTCCTCTGAATACATGTATCTTACTGAAATGACAAGTTTGTTTGTTTTTAAATAGTGCTAATGCAAACTTTGAGTACATATATAATTTGAAAGCATTAATTTATTAAATAGGCCTAGATAAATTTTTTTTCAAACACCTGTATTGAAGTTTAATTTAAGGGATAAAAATCATCCCCTGACTTCCCTTTTTAACTACTTTTATTTTCTTAAAATTAATTCTAGACTACAATTGTGTAAATTTACAGCCCTCTTAAGACATTTAGTAATTACATGTATAACTATCTCTATTTATTTAATTTTTGTATGAAATTAATACTTGTTTTTTTTATATTTGTTTCTATCTTAAACACCTCTCTGCAGAAAGTAAACAAAACAACAACAAGGAGCTGCAAATTCAGAATACACAGGGGGCGGAGCTATCATGTCACTCAGAACCCTTTTCACGCATGAGTGAACAAAGCAGTCCCAGAAAGCAGTCCCAGGGACTGCTGGGACTGCTGGGTCTGCTTTCTAGAGCAGTCCCACAACAGTCCCAGAGCAGTCCCATAGCGGTACCAGAGCAGTCCCACAGCGGTCCCAGAGCAGTCCCAGAGCAGTCCCAAAGCAGTCCCGGGGACTGCTTTCTGGGACTGCTTTGGTGTCAGGTTGGGTCTGGTTGGTACTGTACCTACGAAATTATTCCTGCTTAGTTTTCATGTTCATTTAGCTTACAGTCTTTTCTTGTACATAAATGTACATACATACTGTGTAACATACATATAAAAGAGTCTTCATAATTGTATACATGTTTATCTGGTAGCTCCTTACTAACTAAACTTGTAATGTCTATATCTTAAATAGTTCATTCAGATTTGATGTTTCCCACGTATAGGAATGTGCTGTATCAGCAGAATGCTATATGTTTAGTTTTAAGTCAGTAATTGATGTTGACAGCCTAAGCCACGCGGTTTGTGAAATCGCTTAGTTATGTAGTTTAGAATTAAAGCATTTAACTGAACGGACGTGTTTTATAATGAGTGTCTAGAGCACGATAATATTACGGACAGTACATTGGCGACGAGGATAAAAACTGCAACAATGGCAAAGGCATTGCAGTTACCTGCAATTAATTCGTTTGATGTTAATGGTGACCAAACCAGTGTTTCACAAAGGTGGGACAGATGGAAGAAAACTTTTGAGTTTACCTAACAGCGTCTGGCATTACCGATAAACGCAAAAACGGGCACTGTTTCTACATTCCGCGGGAAGTGAGGTACAGGAAATATTCGATACTCTTGGTGACTCGGGAGACGATTTAGACGGCGCTAAAAAGAAACTGGATGAGTATTTTCAACCAAAACGAAACATAGCATTCGAGCGCCATTTGCTCAGGAACGCGGCACAAGGTGAAACAGAAAAAAAATTGATAGTTTTGTGACTAGACTGCGCAAACTGGCTGTAACCTGCGAGTTTGAGAAGCCAGATAGCAACATTCGAGACCAAATCGTTGAAAAGTGTAGATCGTCAAAATTAAGAAAAAGGCTCCTAAAGGAAAAGGAATTAACTTTGAACAAGTAATAGCTTTTCAAAAAGCTTGCCTGACTAATCAATCAATATCCACGGAACGTATAAACAAGGGAGGTGCTAAACGTTTTCGTCATCAAGGAGCGACATAGTTGCGATACTTCATTACACAAGATGTACAATTGACTTTCTCAAATCTCATAAGCAAATACTGCAGATTAACAAATATCTAAGACATGCCACTATTCAGTCATTTATTATTTAGTCCACGGGTTGACAAGTTACGTTGGGATGAAACTATAACTTTAAGTGCGATAGCGTAGATTATAATTTTGGGGAAAATAGTTAGATGATTCTAAAGAAATTCATATTGCATGTACTCTCTTACTAGAGGGCGCACTTCTCTAGTCAGTGATAGATTGATGAGATGGCCTCTTTTTATAGACTGGTCTGTTTTCCGTCGTTCTCGACGTCGAAGTAAATTATTAACAGTTTTTTCTGCCTTTTCTTGAAGTGTTTGAGACAAAAATGCTTCAATGCTGCTCTAGAACTCAAGGTAAATGGACTGTACACTTTATAGCTAGAGCAAAACAAGACACTAATAACACCCCCCCCCCCCACATAACCACCCCCCCCCCCCCCGGACGAAACTCACGCGCTGATGGTCTTACCATATATGTATTATAAATGAGTTTAGAAATACATCTTTATGTGCAGTTTTAAAATTGTTTAGTTTTTCTTAGCCTTTCTCATAATTATAATATCGTGCTTTTATATGAAATGAAAACTAGTACAGATCATGATGTCTTCTTCATTTTGCCGATTCTTTGCTTAGAACCTTACGGTAGTTAAGCCCATTCCTCTATGGGAACTGACCTACTCTTGTCTCTATCCTTGTTCATCACAAAGCATGAAATAATATGCTACTGGCTGACTTTCTAAGCTTTTTTAAAAACCTTACCTTGTAACGTACATTATTAATAAATGTAATTGAAAGTAAAGGTGGGAAACAGACTGAATCAAGAAGGGATGTCCCATTTACTAGGTGGAGTGAGTTTGCTTATGATTGGACTAGTTCACTTATGGGATATATAGTAAGAATAATCAGCAAATCCATTGCTTTAGTGTTGCCTGCCCATATACGATGTGTTCTTTTAAAATGAGATAAAATTTACTGTTAATAAAAAATCTGAAGCTTAAGAATCAGGTTAAAAGAATAAACGTTATTTATTTCCATAGAATATCACCCATTCACCCATCACCCATTCAATAGAACAATCCAAGAAAAAGGCGCGAAGATAATTTACATGTGACATTTGGCGCGAAATGATTGTGTCACCCCTTTTGTAGAAGGCAAATGGACTGATCCAGTAGTTTAGAAACGCAGAAAAAATGTTACACGGACATGCCCGTACAAAGAATCGCAAAGAATAAACGTGTGCATGCCAAAAAACTGAATTAATTAAACACATCATTATTTTGCATCAGTAATACGATTATTTCTTCAGCAAAATGTATTTGTTTAAATGCAGGTAGCAAATTCCAGTGTAAATCAGCTTCCAGAAAAACTAGTTCATTAAGAATGATCGCTTAGTTTCGGATCTTGAAAAATTTAATCCTTATACTGCCTGACGCACGTGGCGTCAGGCAAAAATGCAGTGGATATAGCCCGAGCTGGCGAAATCGTAGACGAGGAAGCAGACAGATTTAAGGGCAATGAGACGTTTTCAAACTCCGATGTTAATGCTGTTAGACCGTCGGTAGGTCACAAAAAACAGTACGGGACTGAGAAAAGTTCCCAGAAAGATGCTACGTGTTTTCGGTGCGGGCGGAAGGGCCACATTGCAAGGAGCTGTACAATCACTAAGGACAAAACGTGTAATAAGTGTGGAAAAAAGGGTCATTTCGCAAAAGTATGTAAGACGAAATCGGATACCCCGCGCGCAAAACCAGGTAAGGACCACCGCAGTACAAAGCATGTTCAATTAGTACTGAGCGAGTCCTCAGATGACGAGTTCGCATTTGCTGTCTACAACAAAGATACGAACGGCATGATATACGTTAATGTGGGCGGAGCTACAATACAGATGCTAATTGACTCTGGCGCTAGCTGCAATATCGTAAACCGCAATGTATGGAGCGCCATCAGTTATAACGACGAAACATTAACCCTATCGAAAAGCACAAAAAGATTGTTTTCTTACGGATCAAAGGAACCATTACAAATACTAGGAACATTTCGGGCACTCACAAAGTATAGGCTGCGCGAAACATACGCAGAATTTGCTGTCGTTAATGGCGATTACATTTCCTTACTAGGAAAGGACACAGCGGTAGAGCTAGGAGTTTTACGCATAGGAGTCGATGGACCGGACCTCTGCTCTGTTGTAAGTGAACTTGATAAGATTGTTGCCTCAAGGAATCCTGTTTTCGATGGAGTAGGGAAACTGAAAAAATTTCAACTGAAAATTCATGTCGACAAAACCGTGACCCCCGTAGCACAACCGTTACGACGCTTACCGTTTAATGTGAGGAAAAGCGTGAACAAAAAGCTCGAGGAGCTGAAGAAGATGGACATAATTGAAAAGGTAAACAACCCCACGGCTTGGGTGTCACCACTTGTCGTTGTGCCAAAGAAAAACGGGGAAATTTGAATCTGTGTCGATATGAGACGGGCCAACACTGCCGTCCAACGTGAGCGGTACCCAATTCCGACGGTAGATGAAATGCTAGAAGACATGAATGGCAGCAGAGTGTTCTCAAAACTTGATTTACGCTGGGGATACCAACAAATAGAATTAGACAAGAACTCAAGAGAGATCACCACATTTGTGACACATGAGGGCTTATATCGCTATCAGCGCCTTATGTTCGGAATTTCCTCAGCATCTGAGATCTATCAAAGAGTAATTGGTCAAGTCATTCAAGGTATTAAAGGGGTGCGGAATTTGTCTGACGATATTATAGTTTACGGGACGGACCAGGCGAACCATAACAAGAAGCTTACGAAAGTGCTTGACAGATTAGCTGAGAAAGGACTAACCCTTAATAGAGATAAGTGCAAATTCGGTCTGTCATAAATTGTATTCCTTGGACACGTGATTTCATCAGAAGGGATTCGCCCTGACCAGGAAAAGGTCCAAGCTGTATCAGAGACCAGGACACCGACCAACAGTTCTGAAATAAGGAGTTTCCTGGGGCTAGCGAACTACTGCGGCCGTTTCATACCGAATTTTTCAACGATAGCTGCCCCACTACGCGAGGTAACAAGAAAGAACACGCATTCGAAATGGACGAAAAGACACCAGGATGCGTTCGACATGCTTAAAAGAGCGCTCGTAAGTGCCGAAGCACTAGCATATTACAATCCGAAAGCCGAGACAAGGATAATCGTGGATGCAGGTCCCGTAGGACTTGGAGCCATTCTAGCACAGAAACAGCCAGATGGATTATTTAAACCAATTGCATATTCAAGTCGATCTCTAACCGACGTTGAGCAACGATACTCACAGACTGAGCGTGAGGCGCTGGGTGTCGTGTTTGGTTGTGAAAAGTTCCACATGTATATATACGGAATAGAGTTCGAAATCTGGACGGATCATACGCCATTGACCTACATTTTCTCTCCAAAGTCAAAACCACCAGCCAGAATCGAGCGATGGATATTGCGACTACAACCGTATCAATATAGGATCGTCTATATACCTGGACCAAAGAATGCTGCTGATGCTCTATCGAGATTGAGTCGAAATCAGGCTTGCCGAATACGCCACATTGCAGACGAGTATGCGCATTTTATCGCTGATAATGCTGTGCCAAAAGCACTTACCATTCAAGAAGTTCGTCAGAAAACATCAGAGGATCGAGGACTCGTCGAGATAATGAGGAGTATCAAAAAGGGTCATGGCCGTCTGGATCCAAGAATTCGTACCGTGGAAGCGGAACTTTCGGTCTTCGACGGGATAGTATTACGTGGATCGCGCATCATACTGCCTAAATGCCTGAGAAAGCAAACAATATCATTGGCCCACGAAGGACATCAGGGGATTGTACGCACGAAACAAAGATTAAGAGAAAAAGTATGGTGGCCAGGCATATATACAGAGGCCGAGCGATTTGTTAGAGCGTGCCACCAATGCCAACTTTTGACGAACAACAATAGGCCCGAGCCAGTTCGAACAACGGTATTACCCGACGGGCCATGGCAAGATCTGGCTATAGACCATCTTCGCTAGCCAGGGGTTTCTGATACGCTACTCTCCTCATAAGCCCTAGGCATACGGTGTTAAAAAAAGTTGGGATTTTTTTCTCAAGTTGTGATTGGAGTTGATCGACATCGTTCGACCAATCAGCAATTGTTTTTTTTGTAAATGACGATATTTGCGTTCGGGATATATCTTGACTCATTAATATCGGTAATGTAAAACGCAAGTAAACAATGATCCGTAAGATAACATGCCAATGTTCTATGAATAGCTAGTATGGTGTCATCCAATATCTAAAGCTACGTGCAAAATATGTGATTAAGAATCTATACTGAAGATGTAGATTTGCATTTTTACATGTTTAAATAACAAATTAACCTAACTCAATACCTTCTTGTTAATTATTCTTTAAAAACATTTTTTTTTAAATACGCTTTTTATTTCTGTCGATGACGCAATCTGTGCGTACCTGGTATGGTAAGAATCATGATCACGTGACAAAAACAATCCCGTCTTTTTTTCAGCACCGTATGCCAAGGGTTTATGAGGAGAGTAGCGTATCAGAAACCCTTGGCTAGCGAAGATGGCTATAGACCTTATGGGACCGTTTCCCTCCGGGGAATACCTATTAGTCGTCATAGACTATTTTTCCCGATTCCAGGAAATAGCCATAATGAAGAAGATAACTAGTGAGAAAATCATTCTTCAACTTGACAGTATGTTTGCTAGGCACGGCTTGCCTTGCACCATGCGGAGCGTTAATAGACCACAGTTCGTGTCGGAAGAGTTTAAGGGATACCTGGATTTAAATGGTATCAAACATATTCGGACCACACCATACTGGCCGCAAGGGAACGGGGAGGTAGAAAGGCAAAGCCGAACATTACTCAAAGCTATTAAGGCTGCAAACGCAGAAGGTAAAGATTGGAGACAAGAGCTACCAGAGTTCCTACTCGCTTATCGCGCCACCCCGCATTCTACAACGGGGAAAAGCCCGTTTATTACTGTGAATTACTGTATAACCGGAAATCCGTACCAAGCTACCAGAAATGAGTAAAAGAAACGAGAACGAAGAATTACGAGAAACGGATGCAAGACAAAAAGTAAACTTCAAAAGGATAGCAGATGAGAGGCGCCGCGCTGTAGAGTCCGAAATTGATATCGGCGACACAGTTGTACAACGTCAGCCTAAGCGCGACAAGCTATCAACTGAATTCGCGCCTGAAAAGTTTATCGTGAGGGAGAAGTGCAGAAATGCAGCAACTCTCGAGGATGAAAATGGATCTTAAATAAAGATAAACTGCACAGCTATAAAGAAATTCATACCGAATGAAGAAAACAAAACAGAATTGCGTGACCCGGAAATTAGCGTGGAAGAACCCGGAGACGAAGTGGATAAAGATCGTTCTGTCACAAATACTGGAAGATCATCCCGGGAACGCAAGCCACCTGCATATCTAAAGGACTATGTGACCAACTGAAAAAAACTGATCTTTTATCATTGAACTATAACTATGTTTTGATGTTGTATAAAGATGAGTTGTTAGCATTACAGGCTGTCATTTCTGAAATTTTGTAAAAAAAAAAATGTTTTTGTCTAAGGTAAAGAGGGATGTAATGTCTATATCTTAAATAGTTCATTCAGATTTGAAGTTTCCCACGTATAGGAATGTACTGTATCAGCAGAATGCTATATGTTTAGTATTAAGTCAGTAATTGATGTTGACAGCCTCAGCCACGCGGTTTGTAAAATCGCTTAGTTATGTAGTTTAGAATTAAAGCATTTAACTGAACGGACGTGTTTTATCATGAGTGTCTAGAGCACGATGATATTACGGACAGTACAAAACTGTTACATGTACCACCTGCTTAGATCTCATACATCCTTATACCTGTATACAGTCTTTAGCTTGTTAAACAGTTACGTGTACAGTAACATTCAAATTAGGCAATAAGTATAGATTAATGAATATAAATAGATAACGATAATGATTGACAAAGGTCTAGACATTAAGCGTGTTATTAAACAGTTTTGTGAATGAAGATTGAGGTATATGTCATTTGAGGTATATGAATTCACACCTATTTCACAAAGAAGTGGCATATGTATATCTGAGTATAAAAATCTAGTATAGAAAATTTAAGTACATATCTCAAAAATTCAACACTACTTATACAGTAATCAACCACACTTGATTTTGTTGCGGTAAATTCACCCTCTTCAAGTCTTCCATTCAGCAAATACATATTGTTATTTTTACAAAAATTTTATAAATTGTTTCCAAAATTATTTTTCGTTTTATCAAATGATTTTCGTTTCCTAGGTATATTTATCTTTTGTAATTCAAATAGTTTTGAAAGACAGTCTAAACTGGGATCATCTAACTCATATTCTTGATTTGATATGTCATTTGGTTCAATAAAATCATCTTTTTGAGACATTCTTGCATTAAAATCTCCAATTAGGCATATATGATTAAATTCAATCTGTAGATTCAAAAATTCAAGTTCAATTTCTTCAAAAGCTTCCCTTGAACTATATATAGAACTTTCTGGGGGTATGTAAACAATTCCTAAATTCAAATCTTCATCTGAATTAATTAAAAAAGAATTTAATCTTAACCAGTGACAAACTTACAATTTGTGTGAATAATAGTTACAAAATCTTTAATAGATTTTTTGTATCCAATTACAATACCACCAGAACGTTTGTTAGAAAATACGTGTCTACTTTTAGCATCAAAGAAAAAATCAGTATGATCAATGGGTGTAGTATCATCCGTTTTTGTCTCAGTAAAACACAGAATATCATAAGAAGTAATAAATGTAGAAAATTCTGGGTAATTTAAACGTCTACTTAGACCACAAATATTTAATCCTAAGATTTTAAGTCTGCGAACATGTTCAGTGAATGAATTGAGTGAGTGAAAGAGTGTCGGTTGGATAAGTGTCCACTAAATTGTCACGTGGTAGATTTCCTCCTAGGTTATCTTACCTTTGACTTACTGAGCCGCGTCTGTTGAATGGTCGGAATTCACGGGCCGCTGGAGATAGGCGCGGATCTAGATTGTGTGGCGCGTTGTTTGGCTTTTTAGCTCACCTCGACGAAGTCGAGATGAGCTTATGCTATACCCCCGGCGTCGGCGTCGGTGTCGGCGTCGGCGTCGGCGTCCCAGGTTAAAGTCTTAGGAGCAAGTCCCATTCCCAAGTAACTATAAGCCCTACCTTGACCAAACTTGCATGGATGATGCATCTAGGGATGGACACTACCACACTTGCTTCGGATGCTGGATCTGACCTAGATTTTCCAGATGAGTGACCAGGTTAAAGTTTTAGGAGCAGGTCCATTCCCAAGTAACTATAAGCCCTACCTGGACCAAACTTGCACGGATGATGCATCTAGGGATGGACACTACCACACTTGCTTCGGATGCTGGATCTGACCTAGATTTTCCAGATGAGTGACCAGGTTAAAATTTTAGGAGCAGGTCCATTCCCAAGTAACTATAAGCCCTACCTGGACCAAACTTGCACGGATGATGCATCTAGGGATGGACACTACCACACTTGCTTCGGATGCTGGATCTGACCTAGATTTTCCAGATGAGTGACCAGGTTAAAGTTTTAGGAGCAGGTCCATTCCTAAGTAACTATTAGCCCTACCTGGACCAAACTTGCATGGATGATGCATCTAGGGATTGACACTACCACACTTGCTTCGGATGCTGGATCTGACCTAGATTTTCCACATGTGAGACCAGGTTTAGATTTAGGAGTAGTCCCATTCCCAAGTAACTATTAGCCCTACCTTGACCAAACTTGCATGGATGATGCATCTAGGGATGGACACTAACACACTTGCTTCGGATGCTGGATCTGACCTAGATTTTCCAGATGAGTGACCAGGTTAAAGTTTTAGGAGCAGGTCCATTCCCAAGTAACTATAAGCCCTACCTCGACCAAACTTTCATGGATGATGCATCTAGGGATGTACACTAACCAACCTGCTTCGAACGCTGGATCTGACCCAGATTTTCCACATGAGTGAATTTTAGCCATATTTTAACCAAATTAGCATGGATGATGTATCTAGGGATGGACACTTCCAGACTTGCTTTGGATTCTGAATCTGATGTACATTTTCCAGATGAGTGACCAGGGTAATTTTTTTTGGAGTAGCTATATAATATTATGGCCTGTTATGATTAAACTTGCATAGATGGTGCATCTAAGGATAAAAACTTGCAGACTTGCTTTGGATGTTGGAACTGACCAAAATTTTCTTGATTACTAAACAGGTCAAAAGTTTTTTTGAGCAGGTCTATAATTAAATCAAACTTGCATGGATATTGATCTTGGGATGTACCCTATCTAGAAAAAAAATATGATGTGAAATTTGCCTTACATGTAGATAACATTCGTCGAGGTGAGCTTCGTAATCTTTGATTACCTATGTTTCTGTTCGTAATCTGTCAGCACAAATAGTTCGCCGTTAATATAAAGTTTATCCATAATCAGTTGCGCTCTCTTGCCCTGTCGTTTAGCTGCCTTGTAGTGCAGGTACAGCAGTTTACCGTTTTCGTTTATCTTCTTGGGAAATTGTTCGAATACACTGAATTCTGGGTCGCTTTGATCGCCCGGACCGCCTTGATCCCGAAGGGCAGTGATAACCGTAATTGCAGATTTTCGGACTTTTTCACGGTCCTAAAAGTTTACAAATTTTGCCACAACTGCCCGAGATTTTGTCTCTTGTTTCCGGCCTATGCGGTGAACTCGATGAAACGGAATTTCATCTGTTATTCCAAGTTTATCAGTCATAAATGCTTTTAACGCTTGTTCACATTGTTCTGCACTTTTTTTCTTTTGGTTCATTAATACCCAGGAATATTAAGTTGTCCGTCATGGACCTTGCTTGTAATTCATTTTGCTATTCTTTGAGGTTGGTCAGTTTGTTTGTAATAGTTGCCATTTGTTCTTTAAGTGCCACATTCTTTTTTTCTATATTTTCATGCATTTTTTTTGGAAATCTTCATTTCTGCTACAGTCCCTGAAACGTTCTACTTTCCCACTTGAACGGTGAGCGAACGCTGAACGAACGGTGAGCGAACGCTGAACGAACGCAGAGCGAACGGTGAGTGAACGATGTGTGAACGCTGAACGCAACTTGGTGAACGATGTGTGAACGGTGAACGGTGAGCGAACGCAGAACGCGAACGGAGCGCAAACGCGAACGCAAAGTGAACGGTGAACGAACGGTGAACGCAAGATGAACGATATATTCGGAATGCCTCTGATCTTTTCCTTGCATTGAAACTATTTTATTGTATTATAATGTCAGGTGCCAAAATAAATAAATAAATAAATAAATAAATAAGTAAACCAAAAAATGAATAATAAATAAGTAAATAAAATAAATTCTCCAAAATTGTCCTAAGAAAGACGATTCATGCACATTAAGTTTTTAATCACACGATTTTTAACGCATTAAAACATTGCAATTGTTGCCGAACGCTGAAGTATAAAAGATATTTTTTTAGTTGGAAAATAAAAATGTTTATTCTTATTTGATAACAAATCAGAGAAAACTTCTGACTTATAGAATGAATTAAAGCGATTGTAACATCCATTCATATATGTATTTCCGTGTCAAGACGATTTCATGTAAAGTAATAAAAAAATTAATTACAAAGGTCAGTGGACGTTTTGCATTTATACCCTCGTATTTTAAATGTTTAATACAATAATATATTATGTGTCATTTCTATTTTTCATGATGATTTATTGAGCAGACTTCTACATGTATCTGTAGATGGCCGTGATTATACTCAGACAAGATAATACAAGGACACATATTCATATTATTTGTTATAAATTCAATTTTCAGAACTTGATATTTAAGTAATATTATCAAACAGACAAATGAGAGAGAGAGAGAGAGAGAGAGAGAGAGAGAGAGAGAGAGAGATTCCGTTTCAGCCCCCCCCCCCTTCCTTCCTTTCAGGCTTCACTAAATGTTTGCACCTATATCAAACAATAACTCTGATATTTTTTTCTAAA